CCTTCACTCACTCAGTCCACCGGACAAGCCTCAATTCAACCAAGTTTCGGGACCAACCACGAGGTCCGCATCATACTCGATAAAACCACCTAAGTGGTGTCTAGGTCGTGGCTGCACCTAGGCGCTATCCCAGGCTGCCTACGTACCCTACTAAGGGATCAAGCCACACGTAGCTCTTTCCTATCAATCCTGGCTCCTGATATCAATTAAACCATTACATCCATATAAATTCATACATTCTCGGGTTTATCCATCACAACACACCAAACACAATCACATAGCTCCCTCATACGTCGGGACGCACCCGGCCACTACGGGGTCTGTCAACACGCCGGCTAATCCAAAGACCCCGTTGCTACCATCCACTGGGCCTGGCTACATTCTCACCAGCCATTGCATACCATCCTATCTCCGCACTCATACCGTCGGGACGCACCCGGGCCCCCTACCGGGTCTGTCAACCCGCCGCTAATTCCAAAAACGCGTGCGACCTCACACTGGCCTGGCTACAATTCTCACCAGCCCCTTATACCACTATCACCCCTGCATAACGTCGGGAGCACCCGGCCACGTACGGGGTCTGTCAACACGCCGGCTAACCCAAAGACTCGTGCGACCTCACACTGGGCCTGGCTCATTCTCACCAGCCCTCACACAATCATATCTCCCACTCATACGTCGGGACGCACCCGGCCACGTACGGGGTCTGTCAACACGCCGGCTAACCCAAAGACGCGTGCGACCTCACACTGGGCCTGGCTACATTCTCACCAGCCCTCATACCATCATATCTCCCACTCATACGTCGGGACGCACCCGGCCACGTACGGGGTCTGTCAACACGCCGGCTAACCCAAAGACGCGTGCGACCTCACACTGGGCCTGGCTACATTCTCACCAGCCCTCACACAATCATATCTCCCACTCATACGTCGGGACGCACCCGGCCACGTACGGGGTCTGTCAACACGCCGGCTAACCCAAAGACGCGTGCGACCTCACACTATCACTTGGGCCTCAACATAATCACAATATGGGGGGTACGTGGGGTAGTGCGTATAGCACTGTAAACTAACATTCAATCTCTTTATATATCATTACACTCCACACAATAATTAAATATATCATATAATTTCTAATCATACAATAACATCAACCAATAAAATATTCCATAAACTCCCCCCATTTAAATTCACCAATTTATATCCTAAACCCACAATATCCATTTTACTCAACAACGCTCAAGACCTGTCACTAAGGTCATTCTAACCCTCAAATAAAGGTAAGACTATCTCGGAAGTCTCACGGTCAACCTAGGGTCAAACGGGCCTGCGGGGCCCACAACCTCCAAATTCCGATCCGAAGTTCCTATAGGTTCTACAAGCTCTAGGACACATGTCCTGCAAGTTTGGTCCAGATCGGACGGTCGGATCGCTCACGATCGCACGATCGGACGGTTACTAAAACCCTAACCCCAGGGTTGGCATTTCCGGAGTATCCGGGACTCCGTTTTACGATCCGTCGAATCCTACACGATCCTGGTAATACCTAGATCAACATATTATAATATCAGGACCATCCAACGGTCCAAACCCAGCGAACCCGGAAAATACGCGATATGCGATATCCGTTCGGGACTCTAACGGTATCCAAAATGAGATCCGAGCACGCCTACGCGCTCATGACAACCTGAGGATCCCATTGGGACAAAAATGCCCCTCAGCTACAGTGCCCACGCGCCGCCACACGCGCCGGCAGCGCGTGGGTGTCCAAAGCGATATCGCATCGCCGGAAAAACCACAAATCACGGCTCAAGACTCCTACCCTAGGTAAAACACCTAATTTGGAGTCACTTTTGTTCTTGGACGTACCCCAAAAACTGACCGGAAGTGGCCGGAATCTCATCCCGAAATCCGGCCGAAACTCAATTCGTAAATCGAGTTGCCTACGCTACAAATCGATCAATTCCTACCCAACAGGCAGCTAGAGCTCGGAAAATAGGTGAGAAACCATACCTTGATCGCAAGATTTGGTGGCCGGAATCGCCGGAACGAGCTCCGGAAAATCTGGGTAAAAACCGGCCGTTTTTCTGCAATTTCCGGCGATACCGCTGCCGGCTGACATCGGAGAATGGGTGGGGTAGGACGGCGAAGTCAGGCCGGTCATTTTGGGACCGGTCCCGACCCGAGTGGTGGCCGGACGAATGAACGGCCGGCCAAAACGTGGCCGGCTGTGGTGGCGTCGCGAACCAGAGGAGAGAGAGGGACGCGCGGGAGAGAGAGAGTGTGTGAGAGACGGGGGCAATTCCGTCTTTTAACCAAAAATCCCACTTCAAAATATTTACGATTATGCCACTGAGCTTCATTTGATCATATCTCTCTCGTTACAACTCCGATTCGAGCCCACTACGTGTCTACGGACTCATCTCACCGTGCTCTACGCAACGGTACAACCGGAATTCCCAAAGTCCTTCCGGATAAGAAAATGACTAAAATACCCCTATCCCACGGGTAATTTCTCAATTCCACTTAAATAAATTAAAACATGGGATAAATTTGGGGTCGGGGTGTTACATGCAAGGCTACATCGAAATCCCTAGCTATGAATTTAGTTACACATCATGTTCACAAAGATTAAAACGAAAATAAACAACATGAGTGAAAATAAATTCATGAGAGGAAACCCTTGAACCAATTCTGATGTTGAACTTCTCCAAGAACAGCCTCCTGCGATGAGTCTTGATGGTGGAAATATATGGGCGGCTAGGGTTTAAGTGTGTGTGAAAGGGGAGAATAACAAAAAGAAGGATGTCTAGGGTTGTGAAATTCGTCCAAAATAAATAGGGTCTGTGAAAGTGGCTAAAAGGCAAGTTTTTATGGGGTAAAAGAGGCTGTCAGATATTCCAAAGAGATCCTAATAAATCAGCCTTTATTTTGCACGTTTTTGCCTTATTTGGCACCTCCAAATCAAGCTAGAAATCCCCATTACTTTCCCATTCCGCTCTTAATCTTTAAACAAGCCAGGTTCACTTTGGATCTTTATTTGGACTTCAAAACAGGTCACGAAATTTCTTTCCACATTTGAATAATGGCCAGCTCCAAAAATGACATGTTTTGATTTCTTTTGCCTTCAACTTGATCCTAAAGTAGGTGCAACTGCATACTAACACAAAATAGGGTAAAACGCAACATGTTTAACTCAAAAACATCACAAATAGACTAGAAATGGATGGTATAAATGTATAAATATATGAGTTATCAACAGCTTCAGTGGGCGCTACGTGAAATAGACCTGTTGGCGGGTCACTGCAACGCACGCGCCAATGTTAAAAAAATTTAAACAGTTGCGCTGACATCGTCGTGACGTCATCGCGCTGACGTCAGCCCAAAACGAGTTTTGTTGCTCGGGCTGGACCTCCCCAAGGGCTAGCCCAGGCAAATTTTTTTTGCTGGGGCCCACACCTTGACCTGGCAGATTTGTGTTGCTGGAAACACCATTTTCCCCCAGCACCCCCCCCTCCCCCAGCCCTCCCCCAGGCCCCTTGCTAGAAATGCTCTTAGAATCTCGAAGCCTTCTGAAGGCGACAAGCTTTGCCTATAAATGGTAGAACATGTTTATTTTGAAAACAACCAATCTCTCAACACAAATCAAGATGCTGTTCAATGTATTCCCTAAAACTAGACTTAGATAAATTTTACTGTTTTTCTTAGGATTCAACTTAGCATATCACAAACTTTGCTTAATTATCCTTTTCTTAGGATAAATTTACCGAGTTTGACAAAATGGGAGATGCAGACTTAGATAAATTTTACTGCTTTTGTTTTTCATTTTATTATTTTCTTTTATTTGAAATTGTCCTTTGCTTTAGCTGCAAGCATTAAACCCCGTCTCATCTGAGGTCACTGGCAATGACCTTAAATTATTGATCACACACAAGTCAAATTGGGTGTATAACGTTTTAGAATTATATGATATATTAAATCAGTGTGCAGAATCATTATTAAGTTGATGACCGGATCTTCAAAACCATTAATAAGCAACTGCAAACAATATTTATGTTTATTATTATTTTTTAATATAAATGATAGTCTAAATTATTTTAAATTAATTTAATCTACGAGAAGTGGAATTCAAACTTGAGTGCAAGGGGAGGTGGGCTCACTGCCCTAACGAAACCACGTTTGTCTTTCTATTTTTAAACTTCTCAAGTCATCACATGTGAAAGTGATATTCATGTCGTTACTAACAAAAGATGAGAGTATGACCTAATAACAGCCAAAGCCTTCCTCATCAAGGAAAAATCCCCAAAATGTCGTCTTTACCTACTTGTTATTGTGGATCCTCCCAAATTTAACTCTGAATGATCAACTTTAACACCGCATTATATGATGATTAGGAAACACCTAATTACATACATATTTACATTAATTATACTTGCTGTAATCTCGTATAGTCCAAGCCGAGCTGAGTCAAATAAGCCCGGATGTAGCCTGTAATTGACCACACACACAGTGACATTCACCATCACAATCCGGCACCTTGGGGCGCCCGGTCAATTATAATTAAACAAATAAAAACCCGCCCACTTAAACAAAACCCGACCCGTAAGTCATTCGACCCCAAGTCAAACTATGTACACTCTGTAATAAAAAAAAATGCAGACTGAAAGAAAAAAGGAAAAACAAAGGAAAGGCAAAACGAAAGTGAAAGAGTCTAGAGGAGCGCGTGAGACTCGTGCTGGTTTGATTTGATGTTGATTGGTCGCCGTTGAAAAAAATTTAGGCACATAGGATGATGGGTGGCTTCTAGTAAAAGCACAAAGGAGGAAGGCATAGTCTTCACAACTTTTTGTGTATAAAAGGAAAGGAAAGCCAGTGGTTTGGTATCAAGAACTCGGTTCAACCACTTCACTGTTTAGAAACAGAGCCTTTTAAACTCCTCTGGGATTTTTGGTGCTACTTGAATTGTGAAAAGCATAAAACCAGTTTGATTAATATTTGATGGAGAACTTGATGGGTCTTCTGAGAATTCACATCCAAAGAGGAGTGAACCTTGCTGTTAGAGACATGAGAAGCAGTGACCCTTATGTTGTTGTCAAAATGGGCAAGCAGGTAATTCATTTGGCTACCTTTTTTTGTGTGTGTGTGTGTGGTGAAAACGGTATATTTTTGTGATGTTTTTCTTGAATCTTGATCCATTTGGACTTATGGGTTTCTGGGTTTTGATTTGATGCTTGTTCATTTCAATTGATTGCTTATGAAACCAATTTTTTGATATTGCAGAAGTTGAAAACTCGAGTGGTGAAGAGGAATGTGAATCCTGAGTGGGATGAAAGATTGACTCTTTCTGTTGCAGATGCAAATCTTCCGATCATGGTTCGTGTGTATGATAAAGATACGTTTAGTTTTGATGACAAAATGGGAGATGCAGAGTTTGAGATTGGTTCATTCATTAAAGCCTTGAAGATGCGCTTGGAAGGCTTAACAGATGGAACCATAATTGACAGAGTGAAACCAAATAGGGAAAACTGCCTTGCTGAAGAGAGCTGCATCATGTGGTCCAACGGAGAACTTGTCCAGAACATAGTCCTCAGACTCAGAAATGTGGAGTGTGGGGAAGTTGAACTTCAATTGCAGTGGATTGATGTTCCAAGTTCTAGGGGTCTCTAGATTGCATCCTGGTTATTGAATTCTTTTGTTCATAGATGTGAGAGATAGAGTGGTGTTTTTGAGTTTTTATCCTCCCATGTACTGGTGTCAATTTTATGGGATGTGAGAAAAGTTCGAACAGATTGAGTTTCATTTTCTATTAAAAATTACAATTTATTTGATTCATTCATATTCTTGTGTGTGATTTTGTTGATGCCAACTAGCACCAATCTGACCAGAATAACATCTTCCTTCTGGTATGATCAATAATGATTTTTTAGGGTTTTTTTTTATTGCAAAACGTTCCTGAGGTTAATGAAATTATCAGGTTAAATCCTTTTTTGTTTTGTTTTTTATTTTTGTGTTTGTGGTCCTCAAAGTTAATATATGTGCTCACAAATAGTTCTTACCATCAACTTCCGTAAAGAAGTCTGACATGACACACATATGAGACTTCACATATCCAATGAGGGTGGAAATTCAATTTGAAATTTTTATTAACATTGTGAAGGGAAGTACCTCTAACCGCAAACTTAATCTAGAAGGGAAATTAAAATCCGACTCGCAACCAAATTATTGTGTGAAGTTGATAGCAAAAATTGGACTAACAAACAGAATAGCCAATTAGGCAACAATACATAAAGATGCAAAATTAAGAATGCAAAGAGTGTCGATCAGAATGATATTGGTGTTTTGACAAACAAATAATCTCCAATGCATTATTCAATGGAAGGATTTGTAGACAATCTTTTTGTGTTATGAATTCCATATCTTTGATGAGAGTACTCAAGCGAATCTACCACTGAAAAGACATGTAATATTGAGAAGGATAATGCTAGGCTTACCACATTTATATACCATATTGTGTATATCTCTAATAGAGGTGGAGCTTACCAATATAATGGGACCCTCTATTAAAGAGGTGCTAGACAACGTGTTATACCTAACATTTTCCTATTGGATTCAGACCAAAAAAAATATTTTCCTATTGGAAAATTTACGCACCAAAGTAATTAGAAGTTCAAATTACAACCACTTTATTATCCTCCCTAGTTATGACTCACTAGTTTGTTGACATCATCATCCTCAGAACTAGAACCTCATTTGCTTTTGATTATGAGTAAAAATATCCCATTCGGTGACGTTTTCGGAGAATGTTTTATGAGAATATTTTATAAGAAGGAAAACGGGAAAATGAATTTGTATTTTTAAGATTCGAAAATGCGTCTGTTAGATTAATTGGAAAACGGATTCAGAAAATAAAAAATAGTGAAAACGTGTCTGGTATGACAACTTGAGAATAATAATAAAAAATAACATTTTGGTGTTGTTGGATGACTTCCTTTAATTTTAATTTTCCATTAAACTCTCTCTCTCTCTCTTCTTTCTCCCTCTGCTCTGTCTCTATCTCTCTCTCCTCCTCTCTCTGCTCTCCTAATTATCACATACCTTGTGACTGTAATAAAGCATAGCAGATTGGAATTCTACCAAATTCTTCGATCTTGGCCAACTCAAATGTAAAATAAAACAAAACCAAATTAGGTAATTGAAATTCATCACCAAGACTTTCACAACCATCAGCCAAATTTTGTCACAGACGAGACAGGTTACGACGAGGAATGGGTCTGGGACTGTGTTTGCAAGAGGACGAGATGAGGAGGCGGCGAAGAGAGAGAGATGGAGGAACGCTGAGAGAGGCAGTGGGGTCTTCCTCTTTTCGTGTGGGTTTGTCCGGGTTTCCATTAAACCATTTCTCGTGTTTTCACTTTTCCTTTGAAAATGGGGAAAACAACAAAAAGCCGTTTTCTAACTTAAAGAAGAAAAGTTGAGTTTGTTTTCTAACTTTGTTTTCCGCGTTTTCCTAGTTTACACCACCCAACGCACTTTGGGTTGTTTTTGTTTTGGGAAAACGGAAAACGGCGTGGGAAAACGTTACCGAACGACACCTAAAGTTCTTGCTCGGAACTTTCAAGGCATACAACATGCATAAAAGTCGTCAAAATTGCATCATTTTCATTCTAAATCTTATTTATTAACAGAAAATAAGAAGTTGTCACATTCATTATTAATTACCCTCCCATATATATATTTGAGTGAAATTACCAACTGTAATACTGTGTATGATGAGGACCCTTAAAGACTCTTTGATTGGAATCTTGGACAAAGATGGTCTTCCTTGCCCCTCACTTCACAGCGCTTGAGGAATGCTAGGTCAGATTTCGACGTCCTCTGCCCGTCTATGGCACCGTCTGTTTCTTTTCTTTATCTGGCGTTTCTACTTTAACTTGTATCTTGTTTGGTCTTCGGCTGTGATGTATGCGTGCTTGTAGTCCCCTCCTAATTGGACTCCTGCTTCTGTATTTTGCTTGCGCTATTTGTGCCTTGGTATTGATTTCCAGGTTCCACCAAAAAAATAAAAAAATAAAAAAAATCATACCTGAGCCAGCTTAGAACTCGTTTTTCTTTTGTTTTTACCATAAAGAATAAACATAACAGACTTGTAGTCCTTGTCTATTGGAGCATAGTCAATTTGAGCACACAATCAGGCGCATTGGACTCCGAGTGGGATAATTTTGCCCCCAAAAGTCAAATTTTTAACACCATCTCACCCCAAAATAGCTATGAACGGTTATAGTTCAATAAAAATGAGTATTGATTTACAAATCAGTGATCTCATATTCGAATTTTAATGACAGCTTGATAGTGTGTGAGAACTCTCGTCTTTCTTTCTAATTTTAACAGAAAAAATAAAAAAATCTCTCCTCAAAATGACAAATAAAATAAAATAAAAGGCAAAATAAACGAGTAGAAGAGTCTGGAAGAGCGCGTGAACAGTTGAGAAAACAAAGAGTAAAGTGAAAAAATACATTGGCTTGTAGCTATTGGGGTCAATATAAAAGGTTGTGGTTTGGTAGCCAACTTCACTCAGGCACTGAGATTTAGACTGAGGCTCTCAAATTGCAAATCGAACCTCTCATCCTCCTCCTACTCCTGGGATTTCTGGTGCTTCTTACTTTGTGAGGAAAAATAAAATTAAAATCTGGATCCAATGGAGAACATGATGGGTCTTCTGAGAATTCACATCCAAAGAGGAGTGAAACTTGCTGTTAGAGACATGAGAAGCAGTGACCCTTATGTTGTTATCAAAATGGGCAAGCAGGTAACTCATTTGGCTGTCTTTAATCATGAAAATGGTCCACTTTTCAGATAATTTTTATTTTGCGGTTGCATTTCTTGATCCATTTGCATTTCTGGGTTTCTGGGTTTTGTTGTTATTTTCTACAAATTTAGGTGATTGATAGCAATACATGGATCTGGTAGGATTCACTTGGTGTTTCATTGTACATATACATATTTTCTGTTTAAATTGTACTAATGTTTGTTTGGGTTTAATGTCTTCTGGAATAAACTCGATAAACATAAAAACACCCCTTTTTTTTTTTTTTTTTTTTTTTTTTTTTTTTTTTTTTTTTGGCTTGGGGGCGGGCCGGCCCCTGTTATTTTGTTTTTTTTTCATAGTATTAAAAACTCCAACCACACAAGAGGGTATCTGAAAAAAGAAAAAGAAAAGAGAAAGGAATCTATTTCTTTTTGTTTTCTTTCATGGTAAAGATTAAAGAACAGTAAATGAAGGTATTTAAATCTACCTTGTGAATGGTTTTCTTATTTTCTGTCTGTTGCTGTAAACATTTGTTTTGATTCCAGAATATTGATATCACAAAGGGTTCTGGTTTGTAATTTATTTGATGTCATCAAGAAATTATTATTTTTAATCTGGTGGTAATGTTTCCCGTCTTCACCAAAACAAAATCTGGTAGTACTGTTGCTTCTGTGGAGGACATTTGCTTTCTCGGTTAACAGTGCTATCCCTGTGACATGCAAGTCCCTCTCTTGTCCCGCGGGAATGAAAAAGACATGGGTTCAAGCACATTAATTATTGACCCGGAAATCAATGAACACCCAACTTTGCTGTGTGGTGGTTCTTCACCAAACAACTTTCTGAATTATGTCTTGTTATGGTTAAGATCTTTGAGAAATTGATGTGATTCTAAATATCTATCGTTTCAACTGATAGCTTGTTGAATTTATGTTCAAAAGCAGAAGGTGAAAACCAAGGTGGTGAAGAAGAATGTGAATCCTGAGTGGAATGAAGATTTGACACTCTCAGTTGCAGACCCAAATCTCCCAATCAGGCTTTATGTGTATGACAGAGACACCTTTAGTTTTGATGATAAGATGGGGGATGCAGAGTTTGAGATTGCGACATTTATTAAGGTCTTGAAGATGCGCTTGGAAGGCCTCCCAGATGGGACAATAATCACAAAAGTGCAACCAAATAGGCAAAACTGCCTTGCTGAAGAGAGCTACATTGTCTGGTCCAAAGGCCAACTTGTCCAAAACATGGTCCTCAGACTGAGAAACGTGGAGTGTGGGGAAGTTGAACTTCAATTGCAGTGGATTGATGTTCCTACCTCTTAAGGGTCTCTAGATTTGCATTGCATCCACACGGTCTATGTGTATAGTTTTGAGTCTTTGGTTCATGAATGTCAGAATAGTGATGTTTTAGAAGGGTCTCCACCTATGTAGTATGTATTGTTAACATATGGGATGTGAGAAAACAAATTAGAATAACTTGATTTTCATTATGTAGTACATTACTGTTTATTTGATTCTCATTTTGGTTTCAAATAATTTTTTAAATCCTCATTTTCGGCCTGTAAAACTGGCCCAAGCTCGATGGGCTAGTCCAAATCCAATCCTATTTTTTGAGCTATGGGGGCGAGAAAGAAGTTAAAATACCTAGCTAAAAGAGCAAGAAGACAATATGTTAAGGGTTTCTAAGGCACGACAGAGCTACCAGCGCTTATAAATTGGAGAGGCAATGTCAGAGCAGTAAGAACAAGCACCTTGTAGGTGTTGTAACTGTTAATCTCAAGCATTCACTCTTTCCTTATTTGCCTTTTCCTTCCAAACCCCCATCTCAAATTCTAAACACCACACAAACCTTTCTACAAGACATTGTCCTAAGATTCAAAGTTATGGGCAATTAGCTATTATCCCACGAGCCTCAGTAGCCAAGCTAAGTTTTGGTTTATCATAATTGTTCAAAACCATAGATTCTCTTATTGGTAATAACCATTTAAGAAAACCAAAGCACTCTCTAGGAATTTGCACTATTTCTGAGTTCTTTAGTCCAAATCTATAAACCTAAGAAAAGGGGCAACGTCAGAATCAAACTCGTTTGTTACGACGGTACAAGAATTCCTGTAAGTCAGAGGAATGAAAAGCAGAGAAACCATCAACAATTGGAAAAAAGACGGGAAAGCAGAAAAATATAACCGCCGTAAATAACATTAAACTAAATACAGGTAAATACACGAAACCTAAATGCAGAGGCTTATGATCCATAAAGCCATATACCAAATAAAGTGGGGTTTGATATCATTTGTCACAGCTTAGCTGGAGACATCCACTTGTTTACACCAATCATACGTGATATTTTAGAAGGAACATTAACAAATGAAGCTCCATTTAATGCTTATATTATATAGGCTAAATTGACCAGTATATTATAATATATGATTCAACGCACATGCAAGCTACCCAAGTTAATTGGTGATCACACACGTCCCTTTCCACTTCTCGCTTTGGCCAATCTTTTTCTATAAGACTTTACTCCCATTTCTAACCACGCGTAAACTCAATCTTGTTATGAATGAAATCTTCAAGCTTTAACGGTAACCTCAAACTCTATTTTTAATTTAAAATCTCTGGATTATTTTGGATCATCTGCTATGTGTTTCTTGTGCAAGGATCTGATCTTGATTCATGCTAGTTTTCTCTAAGGTATCTGTTGGGGATCGGGGTCAAGACACAGGTCACCAACCACATACACGAGCACCGAAATCTAGGGCTAGTGCAAACTCACATATGTCGTAGCAAATCCATGCCACAAATAAACTATTTCATTAATCATCAATATTCCATTCCCCTACAACTATTACAATAGCCTTATTTATAGGCTTTACAAGACTTGGGCACCAAGACTGCTTGGTCCAAAAGTAAACTAGTTAATTATAAAATCACACATAAATAATAAAAGATATCCTAAAACTACCTAAATAAGTAAATAACAATATATCAAGAAATAGCTAATTAAATAGTAAATATCTATCTTGATCCACCCCTATGCTCCTGCATCAGACTCCCCTGGTTGGAAAGAATTCGTCCTCGAATTCAAGCCTTTGATTGAGGAAAATCCGAGTAGAATCTTCAATTGCTTCATGTTAATTCTGGATCTTTTAGCATCCAATTGAAACCTTCCTTTCCAAATAAAAAGATATTTGGAATATTTCGTTATTCTTGGTTTCTTCTTACTCCCTCTAACAATGCAAATGTTTCTCCCTAGAATCTTCAACCGATTGACAAAATCAACCAAAGTTTTGGCAACCTTCCAAGTGAAAACATTAATGCCCATAAAATCAATAATATCTTCGAAAGTTTTCTCAATTCTCATCTCTTCACTGTTCTGATCAATAAATTGCTTATCAAAATTTCTTTGAACACCTAAACAATTTTCATTGCAATTTTCACAGTTGCAAGGATCAAATATTGGAGGCAAATCCAAATTTAATAACTTTGATGAATAACAAGATGCACCAAAATTACCAAATCTATTTATACCTTCATAGACACAATGAGAATAACCGTGCCCCTCTTCACTTGACTCACACAGCAGAGCGCAATAATGAAAAGGGCTATCCCCCTCGTACTCCCCGTCGAGACTCTCACGGCTTAGAGTGTCGATGCGAGCTACTCGGTTCAGATAAGGGTTCACGCTTCTCTCCCCGTCAAAACTCTTACCGATCTGGGTTCGAGCTTCGATGCGAGCGACGCGTTCCGTAAGTTGCCGTAGCATCCTCCTAATTTCCTCCATGTCGTTGTAGTTGTCAACACGACCCTCCATCCAAAAACCTCCCCGATAAAGCAGATCTTGAGCCATAGCTCTGATACCAATTGTTGGGGATCGGGGTCAAGACACAGGTCACCAACCACATACACGAGCACCGAAATCTAGGGCTAGTGCAAACTCACATATGTCGTAGCAAATCCATGCCACAAATAAACTATTTCATTAATCATCAATATTCCATTCCCCTACAACTATTACAATAGCCTTATTTATAGGCTTTACAAGACTTGGGCACCAAGACTGCTTGGTCCAAAAGTAAACTAGTTAATTATAAAATCACACATAAATAATAAAAGATATCCTAAAACTACCTAAATAAGTAAATAACAATATATCAAGAAATAGCTAATTAAATAGTAAATATCTATCTTGATCCACCCCTATGCTCCTGCATCAGTATCTTTCGCCTTTTATTGGATGTTCGACCAGGACAAGTTTTGTTCGTATATATTTCTTGTTAAAGACGGCCCCTTCAAGAAAACGACCCAAAAGTCAAATTCCAGAAACGACCAAGTCAAATAAATACTGCAACCATGAAAGGGCAAAGGGAGCAGCCCAGTGCCTGGACTTTCCAGTCAATTGTGTACCAAATAAAATAAAGGCAAATAAATCACTGATCAAGAGTTATATACTGGAAAATCGAACACCAACTCCTTCCAGTGAAGAGTTTGACAACAACCATTTCCTTGCCTGCGCGTGGGATTATGGAGTTAATTAATTGATCAATCAACTCTATGGTGCAAGTTGCAACGACCCAGTAGAGAAAGGCTTGGTTTTTGTGGTATAAAAATCAGTTGGGTTTTTAATCACGGATTGAAAAAGCTATCCACAAATCTCTCTCTCTCTCTCTCTCTCTCTCTCTCTCTCTCATCCTTGTTTTGTGCCATAATCACAGCTTGTTTTCAAGTTTGAATGGATCACCTGTTGGGCCTTCTTAGAGTTCGAGTGCAGAGAGGGGTAAACCTTGCTATTAGAGATGTCACTGCCAGAACCAGCGATCCTTATGTTGTCATCAAAATGGGCAAGCAGGTAACTTGGTTCTCTTCTCTCCATATGTTATCATTTTTTGTTTTTGTTTCTGGTTTTTGCTGGAATTGTGGACTTTGAGTTTTAGGGTTCTGGTCTTGGACTTTAAGGTTTGTGGATTTGGATTTTTGGATTGCTTTGGTGGTCATTGACTTCATGGTCAAGCTTTTCTATATATTGTCAAATATTTTAGCCAGTTAGAGTCGACCATTTTCGATGTAAATTGTAAAACAAACAAAGATTGTTCTTGTTGACTCTGTTATCTGGGGTTCCTTCAACTTCTTCCTTAATTTTTGCAGATGATTTTGTCTCTGTCTTTACCTTTAAATTCAATCATATTTTGATAGGGTTTTAATTGCATGATGCTTTCAAATAAGGAGGGGAAACAAAACTTCAATGATCTGTAGCTTTGTCCCTCTGCCCATCTGCTCTGCTTTGAGTTGGTTAAGGTTTATTTGTGTATTGTCAGTGTCACTGATGGTTTATAAATGTGTTGCCTGATGCAGAAGTTAAAGACTCGTGTAGTGAAGAATAGTACCAATCCCGAGTGGAATGAAGATTTAACACTTTCAATTGCAGATCCAACTCTTCCAGTCAACATTGTAACTACTTTTTCTTTGGCTACATACTAGCTGCATTTCATAGTAAACTTAAATTTTACATATCTTTACTGAATGATTTGTGGTGCTGATGTTGCAGCTTGTGTATGACAAGGACACATTTACTCTTGATGACAAAATGGGGGATGCTGAGTTCGAGATTGGCCCGTTTCTTGAAGCGTTACGGGTGCGGGTGCAAGGCGTACCAAGCGGAACTGTACTTTCCAGAGTGCAACCGAGCAGGCAAAACTGCCTAGCTGAAGAGAGCTGCATCATCTATACTGATGGCCAAGTTGTCCAGAACATGTGTATCAGACTGAGAAATGTGGAGAGGGGGGAACTGGAACTCCAGTTACAGTGGATTGATATTCCTGGTTCCAGGGGTTTGTAAATTTTCTTGTCAAAGTCCCTCTGCTTTGGCATTATGGCAGAGATTTGGAGCATTGTAATACCACCAGCTCTGGATTGGATGAGTTTCTTCAATGGGTTCCTTTGTTAATAGGCTTAAAAACAGAGTGCTTTTGAGTGTATCCTCCCCTTTATTATTGTAAACAGGGTTTGTTGAAAATAAAATAGACAAGACGATGCGTAAAACATATGTTCGAATGATGAATTTGTGTGTCACAATCGATGTGGGTATTCTCCAGAAATGAAAAATGCAGGGATTCAATTTCCTATATGATCCGAGGGTTGCAAGTAATTGATATTGCATTGAAAAATGAGGTTTGATCAAGGGCAGTCGATGCTTGATCTTGATGGTACATCAAAATTTGGATAGTGCTTTCCTTCTTTCCTGAAAATCACGGTTTCACGTATGTGCAAAAAATCACGGTTTTCTAACATCTCTTACTTTATGTTGAAGAGATATACTAGTGAGTGTTAATTTCCTTTCTCTGAAGAAATGCAGCGGATGGAAAATTCTGTCACCACTAAACACTGCTTGTTGTCAAGAAAGAGATTTTATGTCAACAATTCATTTTCCTCTATGTTTTCCTCAGTAAATTCAGCCATTTGTACAAAAGGTATGCTATAATATACATAATTTTCAGGAAAGCCGTATTTTTTTTATTTTTAAAAAAGAATGTGAATTTTTGGACATGCACAAAACATAAAACAGAAAGCTGAATTATAGGCATTTTTTAAACCTGTTAGGTAAACTATTTCCTACCAAGAGTACTAGAATGGAATGAGTGACTTCGTTGAGAACTGTCGTACTATTTTGGTGGTGGGGCGCCATAAGCAGAAGAGAGTTTCAGAATGGACCAAAAAAGAACGGTTTAGGTATGTACCAAACAATGGGCCAAATCCTTGTCAGGTGCAAAGCTACATATGAGGCCATGGCTTCTACAGCAAGGCCTACGTCACCTCCTACAGTTTGGCTATACGAGGGAAAATTTTATACTTACCCTCACTATAGAATTTTGCACTAGAAGACCTCAATATAAATTGTTGTTCAATTTGTGGCCAGTAAGAGCAACTCCACCCATTTGCCCTTAGTCATGGCAAGGGGGAGATAGGGCAGCCACTATTCACGTGAATAGTAGTTGCCCTTGCAAATAGTATTTTTCGTTTCCACCCGTTGCCATGGCAAAGGGCAATTACTATTCATTTTTTTATTTTTTTCACAACTTTTTTTACCACAATAATTAATTTGGATAATATTTTCGGATTAGATTTTCGGGTTCCTACGTGTCAATACTATTCATATCTTATAATCGGATAAAATTTTCAATTTCAAATTTCAGATAAATTAAAAAAAAAATTGGCTGGTATTTATAGAAAAAAATTCATTAATTTTTGGGTATTTTTTAAAAATTTTTCCGAATTTTTTCCAATATTTTATTGCAAAAAAATTGGCTGCGGTTGGATTGGAGGAAAAAATCAAATCGGAGAGCCCAGACAACGCCACGTGGCAACAGGGAAAAAAAATCAAATCAGTGAGTACTGTAGCGATATTGTAGCGGGTACTGTAGCGTTGACGTCAACAGCCCTTGTTTTGGACCTCGGGCTGAAGCTGCCTTCGGGCCAGCCTTAGTTGGTGGGTCCCACACCTCCCCCGAGCCTGGGCTGTCCGCTGGAACAACTTTTTTCTTTTCCCCCCAGCCTCTGGCTGGGCTCCCCCGCTGGAGTCACTCTAATAGTAAAAGCCACAGTTTTTCTTGGCCAAAATGAGTTGGCCATCGACTGACGTGACAATGTTTAACTTGTTTAAATTATTCAAAGTAAATGAAACATAGTCACAACAATTGGTGTCCAAATATTAATGAAATAAGTTGTTGTTTTGCCTTATATATAAAAGGGTTAATTACAGTTTAGTACCATATGATTACACCCTTAAGATATGTTAGTTCCTATTTTTTTAATTTTTACAATTACATACCTCGGTCTTTTAAATTTATTACAATGTGGTTCCACCGTTAGGGTTTCCGTCAGATATCACCCTTAGTTGCCTACATCACTATGGGTCCCACATTTTTCGTTTTTTAATTTTAAATTAATTAAAATATGAATAAAATATTTAAAAACCAACTAAAAAAAAGAAAAAAAACCATCATATATATATATCTCTCTCTCTCTCTCTTTGGGTTCTGCGGGTTGTGGGTGGGGGTGGGAGGAGGCTGGAGAAGAAATCAATCCACGGGGGTGAAAGGGAGAGGGTGTTTCTGTGGGTTCTGGGTTCGTTTTGGGGTTAGAGCTACTTGCCGGTGGTGGTTATAGGGGAAAGGGGACTAGAAAGGGCTCTAGGTTAGAGGGATGCGTTTAGGGAATGGATTGTTGAAATGTAAATTGACTAGCTAATTTCTTGTTAGTTAGTAATTTACTTAGTCTGTTTTTACTCTTAGCTTCATTAAGCATTATGTTAGTTAAGTGACTTGAGCTCATATGCCAAGTGTAAGGTGTAAAGTAGTTAGCTAGTTTTCAACGGCTCTTAGGCCTTGTATTGCCATGTGTCACATTCACATTGGCCCTTGTAATAGAATGGTACTGATTGGCTGATGTAATCAGAGAATGAGAAAGAATACAAAAGGTGTGATCTATGCAACGGTTTTGTAGATCGCACCAGAGAACATTTCCAAATTCTGTTTTCTCCTAGCTACCTCTCTCACTCGCTAGATCTTGAGCTTCCTTGATAATCCAAAATCCATATCTTAACATGGTATCAAGAGTGAAGGTTGGATCTGGAAATGGGCGTCGGAGCTGAGCTTTGAAATCCAATGTGAAATTTCAGACTTAGTTCATCGATTCCGGTCTCAAATGGCTCGGTCAAGTGGTAGTGATCTTCGGGCTCCAATATTCAATGGTGATAACTATTAATTTTGGAATATTTGAATGAGAACTATCTTTAAGTTGCATGGAATCTAGGATCTAGTTGAAAAGGGTCTTGGGATTTCAGAAGCGAAAGGGAAGAAGGTTGATGAAGAAGGGTCATCGGAGTCAGAGAAGGTGTCTTTGTTAATGAAGGATGCTAAGGCACTTGGTATTATCCAAGGAGCTGTCTCAGATGACATTTTCCCTAGAATCTCAAATGAAGAAACCTCAAAAAGTGCTTGGGATGTTTTGCATTGAGAGTTTCATGGTGATAAGCAAGTGAGATCTATTAAGCTATAAGGTCTGCATCGAGATTTTGAGTACACAAGAATGAAGGATGATGAAACCTTGTCTGTGTATCTCATTCGTTTTCTTGAGTTGGTGAATCAAATGAAGGGGTATGGAGAAGATTTATCAAGAGGAAGATTGGTTCAGAAATTGCTTATAAGTCTGACCAAAGAGTTTGATCTAGTGTGTTATGTAATTGAGCAAACTAAAGACATTGAAACTATTGAGGCGCAAGAAGTCATTGCTGCACTAAGAGGTTTTGCTCAAAGGCTTGATAGGCATGCTGAGAGTACCACTGAAAGAGCTTTCAGTAGTATGAGTGTAAATCAGAAGGGAACCCAGTCAAGTTCTTCTTCTGGTGATGCTAAGCCAAAGAAGAACTGGAAATCGAAGGGTAAGAAATGGGATTCTAAACCTCAGAACTCTGTCAATCAAGGAGGAAAACCAGATCAGGCTAAGGGAAAAATGCAAGCATTGTGATAAACTACACTATGGAGAGTGTTGGTTTAAAGGGAAGCCAAAATGCTATGGTTGCAATCGATTTGGTCACTACATTAAGGAATGTGATCAAGCAAACAAGGCTAGAAAAGTAGCAAATCTTGCTAATCAGGTAACATAACCTGCAACAATGTTTTATGCATGCCATTCTGCTACTATTGAAAAGAATATGAATATGTGGTATGTTGACAGTGCATGTAGTAATCATATGACCTTTCATGAGTCTTTGCTTGTGAACATTGATAAGAATGTGAAATGTAGAGTCAAAATGGGTACTGGTGATTTGATACAGTCAACTGGCAAAGACACTTTGGTCATAGAAATGGAGGGTGTGACCAGATACATTAAGGAAGTTATGATTGTCCCTGGCTTGGATGAGAACCTGTTAAGTGTAGGTCAAATGGTAGAACATGGATATTGGTTTGTCTTTGGTGATAATGTGGTTGATATTTATGAGGATAGGCAGATGCAGGATTTGATTGCATGTGTACCAATGAAGGGAAATAGATGTTTTCCTTTAAGCCTAGAATATGTCAAACCTTCTATGGCTAATAAAGTAACAGTTCGACCTATTGACCAACACCATAACCCCTTAGTCCCATGAAGACTTTCATGTGGAACAGCCAGGGTAGTTCTTGGCAGGATTTTATCTTTCAAATGCTTTTTTTAATCTATATTTTAGATTCCATAGCCACCTTACTTAGGGCTGAGGCCATTGCTCAGAAACTGCATCTTGGTGGTGTCTTTTGTATCCCTGCCACAGGGTAGTGTGGAGGGATTATTTTATGCTGGAATCCTAGTTATGTGAATTACTTTGAATTTCCACGATCGTTTTGTGCACTGTTTGTTACATGATATTTTGTCCAAAAAGTCTGGGTATGCAACTTTTATTCATGCTTATCCTCAAAAAGAGAAACAAAGAGACTTATGGAAGTTAATTCTTAATTTTAAGCGTTTCATCTTGGAACCTTGGGCTTTGCTTGGGGACTTTAACAACATTTGCTCTTCATATGAGAAAATTGGAGGATCTACTTCAAATAGTTCATTCCATAGAGCCATTTCTGCTTTCAATGCTTTTGTGAATGATTGTGGTACTATATCCCTTCTTGCTGAAGGTGTGCCTTTTACTTGGTCCAATGGACACTACGATGCTTCTATAATTTTTGAAAGGCTTGATAGGGTCTTAGCTAATTCGGATTGGCTGAATTTATTTCACAAGTATGAGTTCTTAAAGATGGTTATTTGCAGTTCGGATCATGGCCCCATTATCTTAACCAGTTCTAATCCTAGGACTAGAGTTCACAAAGCTTTTAGGATGGAAGCCATGTGGCTTTCCTATGCTGATTTCCCTCGAATTGTCAATCAATCTTGGTGCCATTCTTATGTAGGAAATCCAACTCAACAAATTTCTACTTGTTGCAAAACCTTCCAAGTTCACTTGAGGAGGTGGAACATTGAGGTTTTTGGGAATCTCTTCCAACAACTAAAAGAAAATAAACCCTAAACTCAAGAACACTTAGAAAATATCCAAACCCAATTAGCGAACTCTCCCACCTCCACCTTCCTTATCAACAAGGATAAAGAACTCAGCTCCACCCTCCTTGAGAAAGAGGAAATGTTTTTTTTTCCCAAAAAGCTAGGGCAAATTGGCTCCAGCTTGGTGACAAATACACAAAATGTTTCCAAACTCAAGCCACCATTCGTAGGAAACGAAACCAAATCAAAAGCATTAAAGATGATCAAGGTAATATTGGATTGAGCTTATTTTCTTATGAAATGTTGTCATTGAAACCTTTAGGAAAGTTTTACACAGTCAGACCCTATTGCTAGCTCTAATATCCAAGACTTTATAAGTGTGATTGAGCCTTGTTTTTCCAGTGAGGACAACTTTAAGCTCATGGCTGATATTTCTGAGCTGGAAGTCTTTGAAGCGGTTAGAAGCATTGGCGCTCTCAAAGCCCCTTGCCCTGATGGTTTACATGCAATTTTTTTCCATCGGTTCTGGGCTGAGACTAAGCACCTTCTTATTCAGCTTGTTAAGAATTTCTTTGTGAATAACCTTCTTCTCAACCCCATAAACCACACCAATATTGTTTTGATTCCTAAGGTTGACAAACCTGAAGTTGTAAATCATTTTAGGCCTATTAGTCTCTGCAATGTGGTTTACAAGATTATTACTAAAATCATCATTACTAAACTTAGGCCCATCCTTTCTAAGTGTATTTCTGCAAACAAGGTGCCTTTGAAGCTGTGAGGTCTATTTTTGACAATATTTTAATTGCTCATGAATTGTTAAAAGGAAAAAAGGTTCTTTGGGTGTAATGACACTTAAATTCGACGTTGAGAAAGCTTATGATCTCCTTGATTGGACTACATAAGAGCTGGTTTAATTAAGTTTGGTTTCAATGTTGACTGGTGTGACAGAATCATGAATTGCATTTCAACAAATTCATGCTCGATTATTCTGAATGGCAACCCTGAGGGTTTCTTATCATTTCTAGAGGTATCAGGCAGGGTGATCCCCTTTCTTCCTATCTCTTTATAATTTGCATGGAGCCTTCATAAGGCACCTGCAAAATTTAGCTCTTTCCACTAGGACTTGGTTTGCTTTCATCCTCTTTTGGTTAGACTTGGCATTCGTGTCAACCCGCTTTTCTTAATGGGTTGACACGACATGATACTATAAGAAAAAGGGTGGAAAATGTTAAACATGAATACGACCCGTTACAATTCGCGAATCACATGGCACGATCCGTTTCACCCATTAAGAATTAAAAAAGAAAAAGAAAAAACAAATGTACAGAACCACTGCGCAATCCCCATGTTCCTCTTTCTCTCCTCCTTCCCTCAATCCATAAACCTCCATTAATGACACAACCTGAGAGAGAGAGAGAGAGGAGAGAGAGAGAGAGAGAGAGAGAGAGAGAGAGAGAGAGAAGAAAGCTATGTTTGGTTTCTAGGAAAAATAATGAAAAGAGAAGAAACTTATAGAGAGAAAGACAGTGGGAGAGTCGGGGGAATGGGGGAGGAAGAGAAGAAAGAGAAGAAAGAGAAGGAGAAAAAAGAAAAAAAGAGAGAAGAAAGATATAAATTTACAAAAATGCCCATGAGCTTAACGAGTTAACGGTTATTCGCGACTTATATGATCCGACCTGTTAGCTTAACGTGTGGCTAACGGGTCAACACGACACGATAACTCGGACTTGAATACTGAAATTTTCGTGCGAATTCGTGTCGTGTTAAAGGATAGTGTACAATATTGTTTGGTCTACTTTTGGTTATCGAATTTCGAATTTAGTCATCACAGGTGACTGCTTAGTCTTTACTAAGCCACGCCACAGGCTGTTAGAAATGTTTTAACAATTCTTGAGGCTTTCTCTAAGGCCTCTGGATAGCATATTAATTTCCAATATTCTACCATTTATTTCTCACTCAAAGTTCCCACAAATGTCAAAAACAATATTAGTGTTATCTTGCAGATCAAACACGAGAACCACTATTGGTAGATACTTAGATATCCACAATATTGTTTTCTGGAAAGATCCCCAAAATTCAAAGGAGTTAATTCATAGAATTCGTTCAAATTTTGCAAGGTGGAAAGCTCAAACCCTTTCTAGGGTGGGACGACTGACCCTAAGAAAGTTGAGTGTGCCTAATCATGTGATGTCCTATTTTAGATGTCCCCCTCAGGTGGTTAAATAAATGAACAAATGTTGTAGGACTTTTTTATGGGGTAGTGATAGGACCCTTCCTATCTCTTGGAAGGATGTGTGCCTTCCCAAAGACCTTGGTGGCTTAAGGGTCAGACTTACTAACCAGTTTAATCTTGCAGCTCTAGCTAAGCTCGGGGGGAAATGCCTCACAGAGCATTCTAATTGGTGGGTTAAGATTGTTACTCAGAAGTATCTCATACATGAGAGTTTCTTTACTCTCAAGAAAAAGTCAATTCATTCTGTTGCTTGGAAACCTATTTTGGATGCTAGACATGTCTTATGCAAAAGTCTTAGGTGGGTGGTGGGAAATGACGGTTCCATATCTTTCTGGACCTCCTATTGGGTTTTGCCTTTCCCTCTTCTTGACCTAATTCCTGAGCACCAAAGAGCTCCCTAGAATCTTGAGAAAGTCTCATATTTTATTACCAATAACAATTGGGACAAAAATAAACTCTCTTAAGGTTTGGATGATGAATTTGGTTGATAAAATTTTAACAGTTCCTCTTCCTATCTCTAATTTGCAGGATCAAATGGTTTGGGGCCCTAACCCTAGTGGCTCCTTCACCATTAAAAGTGCCTACAATATTCAAGTCCAGGAGCACCCCTCATACCCCTAAGCTCGTCTTCTTAAAAAATGTGGAAACTTGAAATCCCTCATAAAGTGAAGATTTTTTCTTGGATGTTCATTAGAAAATACTTCAAGTGAGAGCTAGACTCCATAGATTTATGCCCCAGCTGTGTCATAACTGCCTCTTTTGCTAATAGCAGCTTGAAACCATTCAACACCTGTTTGTGGATTGTTGCTTTGCTAGGAATGTTTAGGGATGCTCCTCTGCTTTCCCTTCTCTTCCTTCGCACGTTGGTGATTTCATTAGTTAGTTATCCTCTTTAGCTTGTCTGGATCACTTGTCCAAAGCTATTCTTATTTGTTGGAAGATCTAGGAAGCCAGGAATAATATGTTGTTTCGAGATTCTCAGCCACAATAGTTTTCATGTTGCAGCTACTGTTGGTATGGATTATTGGCAGCATAACCATTTGGTCGAAAAGAGGAATGATTACCACATCCTTAAGCTTGTATTAAAATGAACTTTGATGGATCTATCATTAATTCTCAAGCCACCACTGGTTTTGTGTTACTGGTTGATGCCAATAACATTGGTGAAAATTCCATAAATGTGGCTGAAAGTGTTGCTCTCTGGGATGGTCTCGCTGTTGCCATTGATAGAGGTTGGGGTCAGATTGTGATAGAAGGTGACTCTAAACTTTTATTTACAGTGTCCTCAAAAAAGTTACTTCCCTTTGGAGTATCCAACAAATCATTCAAGATATCTGGCTCCATAGCATGTGTTTAGGTAGGTAAGATTCAATGCGGACGCGATTGCCAAGCTAGGCTATGGGTTCTCGTCACAAGTTAGTTGGGATCTTGGGCTTCCTTTGTCAATATGTTCTCCTTTTATTTTGAACTCTTTGGGCTTTCTTGTCCTAGGGGGTTTGTTTTGTAATTTCAGTTTCAGTATAAATAAATAAAAATTCTCATTTTAGTATTTTCTTGAAGCACGGTGTTCGTCTATTTTGTTGGTAATAATTAGATACCTCAATGATGTTGAATTTTCCTAATTTTTTGCAAGGATTATATGTGAATGAAGAAGAGAAAAATACACGGTTTGGATTATTGAAAAAGAATTTGTAGTGGATCCCCAAAGGCGTCGCTCAAATAAACTTATTTCACTATTGTTTTAATCTTTGTTAAGGTAGTTTTTTTCCCCTAATCTTGCAATTTCAAAATTGAGTCCTTAGTTTTATTAATTGTTTCACAATTGTTTTAATCTTGTTTTGTTAACATTTTAATTTTATTTAAGTTTTTATATATATCTGAATTTATGTTAATGAATACTTTAACCTAAAACTTTCAAGTGCCAAAAACATAATTTTATTTAATTTCGAATAAAAACAAATACAACAATAGTGAAATTAAAAACAAGTACAACATAAGTTCAATTAAAAACAACATGTAACTAGACACCAAACATCAAGAAGGAATTAATAACTATGTTGCACGGGTAAGAGTACAAATATGCCGGTATGATTCGTCAATAAAGTAAAATTCCAAAAACTAGGATACGACACCAATACGACGATTAAAATAATATATAAAAAAAATTAATATAAATCTCAAAAATTAATATTGCATCCATCGTGTTATAATCGTCCCTCATAACTTCAAAACATAAAACTAAACACAAAATACAAATCTTTATATGAAGACCTAGCTTCTATAAAAAAGAAGAGGCTGAGTCTTTACAGATAGAGTTTTTAAAATTGACATTATTGGAAGACAGTAAGAGTATCGACATATCGGATATGAGTATCAGAGTATCGGAGTATCATATATGAGTATAGGAGTATCAAATATGAACACCCCCTTCTAATTAGGAGTATCGGGGCAACATAGTAGTCTTAGTTATGTTGATGAAAAGGTAAACATAATAGACGTTAGAAGTTGCAAAAATCATAGATAGATCATGATTTTACATATGCTGATTTCTTTCTTTTTATTTTTTATTTTTTTTGGGTTGAGAAATTTTGGAATTTCATTCATAATTTAGTCAAAAAAGTCACTAGCCATAAAAAGCCAATACAAATTAGCCACAAAAAGGCCATTACAATAATAGAGCAATCTAACATAAAAATTAAGACAATCCGGTGTGCCTTCACTAATGATACACATGATCGAAGAAATTCTGGCATAGACATTCCAACTAAGATTGCAAAACTCAAAACAACCAAACAGAGATAACGGTTGAAAAACCAAGCGAGGTGAAAACTACACAGAAAACCTAAAGAGGCTCTTCGACTTATTCCAAATGTAAAGAAACAGTAGAAATGATGGTGATAGAGATCTCATTTCAATGAAACAAACCAAAATAACGGCTACTAATGCAAATGTTGACAGTTGTATTTGGTACAACAACATGATATGAATTGAAGGAAAATACTTGGAAGAACAATAGGAGACGTGGAAGCACATGTGGCGGTTGGGCCCAACACGTGAAGCCTTACTCTACTCTCATGAAGGAAGTTGAGGTTCCACCCCAAACTCAATTGGCAATAAAAGGAGTAGCCCAACTCCTTATAAACCCAGGCTAGGTCCCTGAACTTTTCAATGTGGGACAAACACTATAAAAAACACAATACTACTAAGACTTAAAACTTACTTTCTCTATTCTCCATTTGAATGATTCCAAAGGTCCACGCTAAAAGAGAAATCACCTCTACTTAGACCTTCTTCAGAAAAATTGATGCATGTTCTTGTCGATTGTGGCATATCATCATTAACCCCAAAACTTGCGAGCAGTTCTTCATCTAACCCAAGATCAGAACCTGTAGCTCTTTCAGTAGCATCCTTGGGGTTGCTTTTTAAAGCTGCTTTCAATTGAAGCAGCACGCTCCCTTTAATGAATTTTTTTGCAATTCCACAAATACCTTTATTAGGTTAGAAATTTATCTCTCGTATTTCTCTCAAGTCTGCAGACACCAACGTTTGGTATTTCCTATAGCCTGCCAAGTTATCAATCTATTCGCTCAATCTCCTGTAGCCTCGTAGACGATTCACTCAATCTCTTTTCAAATGTTGATTATCAATCTCTTCAAAGCTATTGATGATAGTTTTTAGGGATATATGTATTCTTCAATCTCTCGATAGTTTTTAGTGATGGAATCCATATGGTCCAAAAGGTCCTTCAATGGCAGGGTGACATTACTCTCCTTCAACTCTAATTCTTCCAAGTTGAAAGCTTTCTTACCCATTGTTGGTTATATTTGGTCCTAGAAAATAAATGATATATTTTGTTCGAAAATTGAATTTTTATTTTTCTTTAAGCAAAGATTAATATAATTTTTAGGGAGAAAAGTATAACAACACTTTCAAGGTTTATTTTTTACAAAACATATTAGTAAAAAAAACAGTCTATTTTAGTCATTATGAATAGTTACAACACTTTTACTGTAAAATTTATCAAACGCTCTGACACTGCTTTTCATACTCAGAGCACTTTAAAACTACAGTTTACCAAACGTTTAACTGCTTTACTTTATAGCTGATTCTTTTTAAAGCACAACAATCCCAAACTGGGCCTTAGACACCAAGACATTCATTTGAATGAAAACAAAGCCAGTGATATTTGTATTTTGTACAAGAATTTCTTTCTCTATTCTTGTTTTGAATGATTCCAAAGGTCCACGTTAAAAGAGAAATCACCTCTACCTAGTCCTCGTTTTGAAGCATTGGTACACTGTCTTTTCGATTGTGGCATATCATCGACCCAAAAACTTGTGAACTCTTCTTCCTCTAACGCTAGACCATAGCATGTAGCTCTTTCAAAAGCCTCCTCATCATCTAAAAAGGTTTCCCACCAATCATTTCCATTCTTTGTTCATGGTGATGTTTGTGACGGCGTACTAAAATTCTCGACTGTTTGAATATAGTCCAAAATTGGTTCTTTACTGCTCAAACAATTTGATCTCTTGATGAAGCTTCGGGGTTGAGGTGTTATTACAATGAGCTTTATTGTTTCTTGGGTTTTATCTTTCAGCTTTTTCAGGCGAGAATCCGTCCGCAGTCGAGTGTTCCAATAGTTTTTCACATCATTCGCTGTCCTTCCTGGAAGCCTTCCAGCAATCAATGACCACCTTCGACAGATAGCATGAGAAAATAAATCAATACATTTGTGCTATGATACACACAAAAAAAGAGTAGAAAGATGTGATGTTTTTCCAACAAAGGAGGTTTATATTTCTGCTACTATAAAAGGGTTTGTTAGTTTTGTTAGAAATATGTGATGGCGGTGACAGTAGTTGGGATTGTGGTATTTTAGAAGGGATTAGACTATGTTATTTTAGAAATTCTAACTTTTATCCAATTTTGTAAGTTTATTTTCCTCATCTAATCACAGGATAAAAGCTTATATAGTACAAGGAATTTGTATATCAAGATTTTCCAACCAAGTTGTTGTTTATCTTCCGTAGGAAGCATTGTTGAGTTTACCCCATGTTATTTCAGACAAATTTAAACCTTTTTGTAAAGGTTTTTTTAATCACATATGGTCCCGAGGTTTGTGAAATTATCGTCTTTCATCTTTAATTTTTTTTGGTGACATTAATAGTCCTTAAGGTTATACTCCACACATCAAAATGGTCCATGCCGTCAATTTCCGCCAAATTTTCTGTTAAAAAGATGACATGGCATATATGTGGGCCACACATCCAATAATGTATAGCCACGTGGTTTTAAATAAAATATTAATATATTTAAAAAGAAAATTAAATTTTTAAAAAATAAGATTAAACGTTAAAAAACCAATTTTAAAAAACTCTCTCGCCTCTCCCTTCTAACCTGTCGCCCCACTGTGGCACCCCACCTCCCTCCACCCTCTCTCTCTCTCTCTCTCTCTCTCTCTCTCATATCAGATTCGGGGGTGATGGTCAGGCAAGTAAAGAACCGGGTTGGTATTTGATGCAAGAACATAATCGGTTTCAATGGTTGGGGAAGGCATAGGGGTCCAAATCTGGAAAGGTGGTTATGGCTCTTTGTTATGAACTTGAAATGGTTTGTAGTTGCTGTGATGGTAGAAGTTGAATTGGTGTTTACCTATAGCTGCACATGAGTTGGGCATGTGATTCATTGACCCAGATGCAGGTACTTGACATGAACTGTAGATACTAACTATGAAATCTTGTATGTTGGGCTTAATTATGCAGCCACAGTAATAAGAAATGGTAACAAAGTTACAATTAATTTCTTCAAGGCATTTAAGATAGGGCCGTCGGCACTGCTGTAGAAGGAGAGATAGAATAGAGGGATAGGGAGAGGGAGAGGGGGAGAGAGAACAGAGGGAAAAGACGGTAGAGGAGAAGACGGAAGGGGAGGGCTGGCGACAGGTTTTTTAATATTTAAATTCAAGTTTTAATTTTCTTTTTCTTTTTTCTAAAAAAAATTAATTTAATTTTTAAATATATTAAATCTTTTATTAAAGCTACGTGGCACTATATTATTAGATTTGTGGCCCCACATATATGCCACATCAGCATTTTAATAGAAAATTTGATGAAAACTGACGACAGAAACTATTTTGATATGTGGAGGATAACCTTAAGGATCCAATATAAAAAAAAAAAAAAAAAAAAAAAAAAAACAAAAAAAAAACAAAGAAAATTTCACAAACTTGAGGACTATTTGTGATAAAAAAACCTTCTGTAAATGTTTTAACATATATGATCACTATGTTTTACGATTCATAGAGACTAAGATACATCATGCATGGCTACATGGCCCTTCTAGTGCTTTTTGCGGTTGTGCATGCGTACTGAGATAAACAACAGAAGATATAATATAGAAAACAAAGCACAGGATGCATGT